CATAAGTCCTCTTGGGGTTTGGAGAGTAGTCGAAGTGTACGTGGGGATGAACGTGGGATGCTCCGCATCAGCAGGTAGAAACCAGCTAGGAGAGAGGTGGGTCTGGTCCCTGGTCGGTGTCTATGGTTATTTCATAATAACACGCATAAAGAGATTAGGTATTTGATCTGAGACTGCCACTGGCATATACGCACCAACCACTGTGCGTGATAATGGTATATGGGACCATCGGTGCCGTACGCTTTCTCCCGAAAGCTCTACAGATATCACAGTTGAGCGGCACGAGCCCAGGAGATCCGTATGTGCATGCTTTGTATAGAGATATAGCTAGGATTGGTCCCGGTCGTCCACGCAGCGTGCAAGAGCGCTTAGGGCGATCGGCCCATGACCCCTTCGGGCTTAGATTTAGACCGTTGACCTCTCTAGAGAGTCTAGGTAGGACTACGGCATGTCAATTTTCCGAGGCTGGACATTACTCGAAAAAGTGTGTCCGGCCAGAGGTAATCGAGTGTATCGTGTAATGTGGTCCGCCCCTGCAGGGAAGTAATCTATTCGAATAGCCATGTCCATGGTAACAGGATGACTTTGGAGTTGTATCCCGACCTCTTACAACTAAAACTAGATACTTTTTAAAACACACCCAGAGAAGAGACAGGTACCCCGATGATCGTTTCTCTCAGGGAGACGAGGAGAGGATCTCCAGGCAGGAATATAGCTAAATGTTGATATAAGATGATACTATATACGCTCCTCTCTTCTACTGCTGAAAGATATAGTCTTCGATAGGATGAACTTCTCCCCCTTTATTCTGGCATATCCGCAGCTTAGTCCACAGATACTACCCCATTCCTTTGATACCAATCCATATCTAGTATAGATCTGATGTAAGTCTTGCAAGTACTTTTGATGAGTACTCACCGTTGCTTTGCTCCCCTTTTCATTCGACCGAGTTGCTGCAACAGCTGGTAGCACCGCAGATGCAGATTTCCCCGATGGTTCTTACTACGTGGCGACCAATGACCAGGAGTAGTCCAGAGGTCCCAGGCAGGAGGCCTTGCCTTTCGATCTAGAGTCGTTGTTTTGCTCAGCCTTCTTAAGGCAAAATGTTTCTAACTACATATGTACTCAGATAATATTTGCTTTGATGACTTATGTATTTTGGGTCCTCATGGCCCTGGCCTGTAATATAAAGATTTATGTTTAAATTTGTGTCATAGAGTTGTGTTCTGATATTGACGTGATTCATCGTTCGTGATCGTGCATGATGCGTATATGATTAGTGCACAATTATAGACGGGGCGTCACAGGACAACCCCTGGGATAGGTGTGGAACCAAAAAAGGTTTTTGAACCAGCTAAGGTGTGAAAACGATTAAGAAACTATTTGGCTAATGCATGGTTGCCTTGGCAAGGTAAAAGCCAAATAGAATTCTCGCGCAGCTTTGACAACCTGGACACTTTCCACCAAAATGGTTAGAGCTTTGGCTACATAGCACCAAATAATGCACAATTTTTTGGGTTGGAAAGTAGACATCAAGGAGCTTCTGATGATACTAGATGATACCCTGCACATTGCTGCGGGATAGTACGCCAAATCGACACAAAAGTAATAATCCAAGGTCAACAATGTAACAACATAGAGTTAGGTTCTCTATTTGTAGCACACTGGGTCATGTGGATGCATGATATCTTACCATCAGTCACTCAGTCAAGCTCTTCTGATGGGATCATGGTCGCCCTAATGACATTGTCCTCGATGGCACTGCTATCTCGACGTTTTTTGATCCAGCTACTCAACACCAAGATGCTCCATTTGGTCCAACTTTTGTCATAGACCAAGAAGCTACCGCGACCGCTCTCACGACTTCAACTTCTTCCTCGTCTTGGATTCTTCATTGGCATCTTCCTTGAGTGGGTCAGACGAGTAGATTGCCATTTGTTTCTCAACCTATTTGGTCACATGTTTACAAAGGTGGAGAGATCAATGTGTTAATAGCTTCGTGGTTCCTTTGGCGGGTTTTGCCTCGGGTTTACCACCCTTGCTACTTTGATTTATCTCTTAACGCATTGTAAACTCTTTATGTTGTGCTCATATATAACCATTAAACAAGTTATTCCTCGTGCATGTTTAAACTGCTATCTTATATGCATATGGTTATTCCTAAGAGATCGTTGTTGTATGCATTTTATTATTCCTCTCAAGTTTATCTTATATGCAATGCATGCCCTCAAATTTCAAGACACGGAGGATCTCCACAATTTTAACGCATCATGTGCATTTGCATTCCAAAGCAAATTCTTCAATATGCACATCTTCAGGGGGAGCTATCTCTATGTCTTTGAATTTAGAATCCTCATATCTTTTTACTTTTAATTTAATTTGTCATCTCTTGAAGCTTTAACTGGTATTGTCATCAATCTTCCAAAATGGGGGAGATTGTAAGTGTATATAGTGCCCCCTAGAGGGTTTTGGATTATTGATGACAAAACAGTTAAGGACTGATGTGTTTGCGAGTATACAAGGTGAAAGTCCTTAGGATTAGGTTTAATATGAGAGTTATGACCCCCTAAAAATTGTTGTGGCAATGAATAATTTTGGAATGCTTCTTCGAGGAACAATCAACTTGTTGTGAGGAATACGAAGTGTAGTGAAGACTTTGGTTTTCTAGTTTAATTTTCTTCTATTTGAGTCATAGGACAAACCGTACTATTAGGGGGTCTAAGTGAAAGTTGAGATTGAGGTCTCTGATGTGTGCTTAGTCCAAATATATTTCTTTGAGTGAAGACTTGGATACCTCTTTTGAGCGGATAGTTTTTCTTCGGTGTCCGAGGTGATATTCTTCGGTACGCCGAAGGGAAAGTCCTCGCCAGTTGAGTCGACTGACTTGTTCCGCAAGTCAAGTCATTGGTTGCGTTTGAAATCCGACCATTTCGCGACGTGTGGCATGCTACGTGTTGCGTGTATGTTGGCTAGCCACCGCCTCAAACGGTCATATCAGCCCTCAGGATTGCTCTCGGCCATAAATGGCCACCCACTTCAACCTTTGATGGTTGACTGCTTCGTGAGAGAATTAATAAATGGCCACCCACTTCAACCTTTGATAATTGACTGCTCTGTGAGAGAATTAATTTGCCCGAGGAACCCATCCTCTCGGAGAGATTGAGAGAATCCTAAGAGAGGAGAAACCCTAGAGCCTAAAATCTGCTAAGTGATTGAGCTTCACTGAAGAACTTGTCTTCGCCCTAGTACACTTGTGGACTGTTCATAAACTTGTCTTCAACCTATCACACTTGTGGAATGTGCATCCACTAGACTGTGCATCCACTAGACGACTTGTCTTCACCCTATTACGCTTGTGGACTGTGCATCCACTAGTAGGGCCGGGCCGGCAAAATCGGGGGCCCTGTGCCAACTCTAAAATGAGGCATATCTTAGGGTGGCTGAGATACAAACAAAACATTAGGCAGAGTAACCTAAAGTAGAGCACAAAAAAGGCTTAAATTTCAAACCATGAACGGTTGTGTTTCAGTAGAAATTTCAAACCATCGGCAGATTCATGCTTGAAGCAACAAGGCCAGCTCGTGCATGACCGGGGAAATAGAAATAAAAAAAACAGATGGTTAAAGCCAACTCTGGTACAGTTGATACAAGGCAGCAAACCACTTGATAAATGGCAGTAAAATAGCAAGGGGAGTACACTGAAATTTTGACTGCATATGAACTAGAACTTAGACAGCCTATACACTGAAAATTGGACAACTCTACGCTGAATATTTGTACAACAAAATACTGAAATTTGGACAACATATGAACTAAAACTTAGACAACCTATGCAGTGAAAATTGGACAACACTAACCCTGAATTTTTGTACAACAAAATACTGAAATTGAGATAGCACATGCACTGAAATTTGCATAGCAAGAAGAATGAATTTCTGACAAAAAATACAATGAATTATGGACATGAACAAGGCTGAACCAGTGTCAAGAATGAGCTGACCGGAAGGAGGGGACCCAAGTGGCCCATCGTGTTGGTTTCCATGCACTTAAGATGCGCCAAGATGTAAAGCTTCACGATGTCACGGGCAGCGCCATCGCGCTCCTCCGCGGAGGAGAGACAACCCGATGAACTGCCATATCGATGAAGTTCTCGGTAGGGTGGCACAGCAAGTTCTTATACAGCAGGATGGAGCGGCGAATGAAGCGATGGATCGTGCTTGCGTGCCGGTGATGGAGCGTGCGCGCGGCGGCGGCGGTTGCACTCATGTCCCAGAGCTGTATCTGTGGCGGACAGAGAGAGACGAGAGTCAGCGATGGAGCCATTTAGTGGGTTGCGTGCCTGGTTACCGACCTGGGCCTTCTACTCGGAAATGATGTACGGGCCATCTTGCACTGTTCGAAAATTTGGGGGCCCTCAAAACTGGGGGCCCACACCCATGGGCCCGGGCCTGTCCACTAGACGATTTGTCTTCACCCTATTACGCTTGTTGACTGTGCATCCACTAGACGGTTATCTATTCAAAAGCGTCCAAGAATAGTTGTGGACTGCCGACGAACATGTCTCTGAATGTCAAATAGATTACCTTGAAGATATATCACAAGTGATTGGGCGATGTCTCAAAGACTTTAACTCAAGGTAAATAGGGTGAATACTTGGTCTTCTCAGTTTAATCTTGACCCCTCCAACCAGACTTATATTAGGTGAACGCATGTTTTTTCGAAGAATTTGTGGAATCTCCCATTCACCCCGTTCGATACCTGATCCTACAATAGTGAAATAGGCTTTCAGCGCATTTTATATAAAAAGCAACGCAAGGTTTTACATGAACCATACAACAAATAGCATGGTCTGCTGGAAATCAACTACAAGCAAAGAGAAAGCTGAATCCAGGGGCACTTCGCCTAAGTGCATCACAGTTGCTTGTACATCACAGTTCCTAATACATCAAGGGGGAAAAAGGGTGGAGAAGTGCCTTGCATGGCACTCCTTTTTATTGCTCTTATGATCTCTTCGCGGCCTCGTTGGTTGATTCCAGACTGATGCAAGTAGCCCTGTCCCTTGGCACACATTTCACATCTGCCTGCAGGGCAACCCAAACAGAGTCAACTACTTACAAGAAGAGTGCTAAAATAACTCAAAGTGAATTTATAGGATACCAGTGCATGGTTTGCATGTACCAACTGTATTGCTGCATTTGCATCATGTTTGGTTTACAGCATGTTCATAGTTTCTGAAGCAAAACATTACTGATTGCAGACACCGAGGTGTGTATGAGGAGACAACTTACTTCATATGACTGTTCCACTAGGGAGTAAAGCATCCTTGATCACAGTTACAATGCCACTTTTGATGAAGTATCCATCTGTCTCCCTCGCCGCTTCTTGAACATTGTCAACATTGATTATCTACAATATACCAACGAGTCCAGATCACTACCAAAAACAACTCACAGTGCATGATATCATGTTCAAGGAAATGGATATACAATATAGGATATGTTTGGTTGGTTCACAGGATTATGAAAACGTAGGAATAGAAGAAGAACAATGGCAAAAAATAGGATAGGAATGCAAGTGCAAAACAACTTTTTCACACTAATATAAGCCTTGTTCTAAGGAATATAACATAGGACAACAACAGCAATGCCTTTCAGTCCCAAACGAGTCGGGGTAGGCTAGAGTTGAAATCCATAAGATATCGAAACCAAGTCATGGTTCTGGCAGTGGACAACTAACTTACTCGCACCCCTGTCCATGGCTAAATCTTTGGTGATATTCCAGTTCTTCAGATCACTCTTTAGAGACTCCTCCCATGTCAAGTATGGTCTACCCCAACCTCCCTTGACATTATCAGCACGTCTTAACCATCCACTAAAGACAGTCAAATCAAACTCAAAGCACATGAAGAACGATAACTAGGATGGAAGTCAAGTAGATTATAAAATTCCTGCGATTTTCTTTTCGAAATGTGATCAAAGGAACATTCCTCCACTTTTCCTTTGAACAAAACGATTGAACAGTGTTGCTAAAAGAAAATTTTATTCCTACATTTTTTCTCACTTTTCCTATGAACTAGGCAAGGCCTAAAGCTTGTTATATAATGGTTGCATTTTGGACATTACCATGAGAAAAGTTATGTTCGAGTTACATATTCAGTATGACAGTGTTGCAGTGGAAAAAAAAAAGAGAAACCAATAGATGCTTAACCATAAGTATATTAATATGGCATACCATCACGTTATCTCCAATACGAGCATTCTTGTCAATTATTGCTCTTTTGATGTGTGAATTCTTTCCAATACCAATGGGAATGCCACCTTTTTCAGCAAGGAGTTTCTTATCCGCTTCAGTCTGTTGAACAACAAAAGAAAGGGTGAGTACATCACTTTGCCAGAAGCATATTACACCTGTTTGATTTTACCTCATAGTAGTCCGCACCCATTAGCAATGTGTCCTCTATTATTGCCCCTTCAGATATGCAGGACCGGAGTCCAACTACTGAATGGTGTATCTTGCAGTTCTACGTGGACAGCAAAGAAAGGCAGAGGGAACATAGAAGCTGTTATTACATACAGCATCAAAAATCACTTGAGAGAAGATATAACAATCACAGCCCATAAATAAGTATAGATGGTTTTGAAATATGACTTTAAAAGCTTAAAGTTCGTTAGCACGAAGTGAAACACCTGAAGAAGGTTAGCATACCGAGAGCCAACTGAAAAAGGCTACTTACTTTAATAACACATCCTTCACCAATAACACTGTCCGTCACATCAGCATCAAGAACCTTTGAAGGAGGCAAGTGTCGAGGTTGTGTGTAAATGGGAGCAGAACGGTCATAGAAACTGCATTCAAATTGAACGTATACATTAAATCAACAGGGGACAATTCTAACACTTTACATGCATGAAATTTCATTATTTTTGTCCACAACAAGGCAAAAAGTGAAAGCACACCTGAAATCAGGTATTGGCTTTTTGGTAATTCCCAAATTTGCATTATAGAATGCCTCAATTGTACCAATATCTTCCCAGTAACCATCGTATAGGTATGCTTGTACCTGTTGGCAACAATAACAAAACTCTTAAGAAGCACATATCACAACTATGAATGCCAATGGAACTGCATATCCGATAACGTATTGTATCCCCTTCCTTACGATAAACATATGACTCGACAGTTTCTGTGAAGCTAAAATGATTCAAATCATAAAAGCAGAAGCAGCGAAAGGAAACTACTAACTCAATGAGCTTTGCATACCCTCATGCCAGTGCTAGTTGCACCAGGAATAACCTCACTTCCAAAGTCATTAGCTCCAGGAAATTGCTCACGGAGAAGCTGAAGCATCACATGTTTGCTAATAACATAGATACCCATGCTAGCAATATAAGGCATTTCCTTTGCCCTCGCATCGTCAAGGCCAAGTATGGTCGTATCAACCTACAAGATCAAAACAGGCAGCAACGTGGTGTAAATGCATTCAACAGAAGAACTTTTTGGTGTAATAAATGATGGTTCACAACTGTATATCTGAAATTAGTTAGAAAGGCACAGCGTCAGTGTACCATTACAAGATCAAAACAGGCAGCAACATGGTGTAAATGCATTCAACAGAAGAGATTTTGTGGTGTAATGAATGATGGTTCACAACTGTATATCTGAAATTAGTTAGAAAGGCACAGCGTCAGTGTACCATCATAGCTTTCAACTGTTCTCCTTTTGGTTTCTCTGCGAATTCAATTATCCTCCCTTCTTCATCGATTTTCATAAGGCCAAATGCAGTTGCACGTTCCTCATCCATGGGCAAGGCAGCAACAGTAATATCAGCATCTGTTTCTCTGTGTGCCTGAATAAACTTTTCATAGTCCATTCGGTACAGGTGATCTCCGGCAAGAATTAGATATTCCATAACATTATGCTCCTCGAATAGCCACAAGTACTGCCTTACAGCATCTGCAGTACCCTGAGATAAGATGATAAGACAAAGTGAATACCCTGCAAAAGCTTGCATGGGATCCTAGAAACACTTTATGTTGATAAGAAAGGCTTATGATCATCAAGAAGTGAGCAGAGCTCACTTTGTTAGGGGAGTGGATCTACAGCCCAGCCACCCAGGTTCAAGTCCTCACGGACATGACTTTGGTTCTTATTATCTAGAAAAACGCTGTAGGGTACTGGTTTGACATAAACTAGCAGAAACTGCATGTAGCTGTGTGGTATAACACTCACAATCTAAACCAAAAACTATGATGAATAGTATGTTATAGCGACAAACATATGAAATATGAAACATAGTTTGATCCGCTATGTTTACTTATAAACGATGATGACTGGCTATTGCTCATAAGAATCAAAATCAAAGTTACATCACTAACCATTCACGTATACTAATTCTAAATTCGTAACTAGTGAACTTGTTCAGGACCAGATCCTGGTACACAAAACAGATTCGTATAATACAGAAACACTGTTAAAATCAATTCGTTAAAATTTCTGAGCATCTCTACTTGAGCTTAAAACTGTCTTGTGATAGCATGCAATCAAGAAAAAATAAATAGAGAACTATTAGGGTAGTATTCAACTAACAATTCTTATAATCTATATCAAGGTTTTGTAAAAAGGGATATTAATGACGCCTTGGAACAGTTTGTTTCTTTTTTATTCTGGATCTTGGAAGGCTGGCCCTGAGATTTTCACAGAGGGCTTAGTGAAATTCATTCGTGGTGAAATGATACAATCATGCATACTTATGAAGGAATTGTAGATTTTGCCTTCTTCTAAATGCTAACACGAGACAAATTATGATCATCAGTAGATGAATCTCGCATTTTAGATTAAACAAAAACACTTAAATAACAATGAATGAGATACCTGAAACCAGTCAGGGTTATCTGGGCTCTGCTGTGCAGCAAGGACTTCAACAAATCCTTCATTCTTGTAACCTCCAATGTTGCTCCCATAGGCTCGTGAGAGATGACGATTAAGAGATGCTGAGTTGAACTGCGTGAGCACATAGATCTTTGATATGTTGCTGTTCAGACAATTACTGACAGGAATATCAATAAGCCTGTAGTTGGCACCCAATGGCACTGCAGGCTTCGCACGCTTCTTCGTCAGGGGATACAATCTAGTCCCTGCACCACCTCCAAGAATAATTCCGAGAACACTCTGCACAGACAGCAGAAACTCATCAATTGCCTATTGCAAAGTAAATCAAACAAAGAACGAAGAAACAAGTGTTCCAGGCGGTTGGCATTGAGTTCAGCTTGTTTACCACCAAAAGAGATCATGGAACAAATGCAACATGGGGCAACAAGTTTATCCAATAAATTGGAGCTACAATATCTAGCAATCTTTTGTAGATAATGGCCGGCTGGCTGGTGAATAGTTCTGACCTTTTATTTACCAATCAAGCTGAAACTTATGTTCAGTTTTTTTTTCGAATATGGGTTTAATCGGACGTCAGATGTCTCAATCAGCAATTCAGCATTGCAGCTGAGACATGATCCAAGTTCTTCCTGTTGTGTATAACTTTTTCACATCAATTAGAGTCTTCCATCAGCATAGAAGACCCCAATCTATCATCGCCTAAAACTCGCCTGGTTGTATTACTTTGTTTAGTTGTGTTGATGTCAGAACGGTTTGTGAGGAAGAGAGGCAACCACCATTGATTTGAACCACGTGGATAGACTCTACTACCCTTTTTAATTAAAATGAAAGGGCAAGTTTTAACCTCCACCACATCCGAAATCGTAATCTTTTCTAAAGGGGTGTACTGAAGCAGAACTCAAAGAAGAAAATTGAACGAGTTAAAAAGAAAAATCCAAGAACTTGATCTGATTGCCTAGTAGTCTTTAAGAGCCACATGCCATGGATCATGACATCTTCTTTATGAATTTCTTATGGGGCTCACACCCACACCCATTGATTAAGTAGGACTGTTCAAAAACGTCCACAGTTGCCACATTTGCTGAAATCTAGTAAAAATAAACAATTGGAGCCAATGAAAATGTCCACATGATTAGTCGCCAGAAAGCTCCTGCTATGCGCTAGCAAAGTAGAGTAGTATTTTTTGATCATCTCTAAGAAATGTCCACATGAGAACACAAGGCGTGAATCACATTTGCGTATCTAAATGACCGAGGCAATAATTTCCCGCATGCATCAAATTCTCATCCGGAAAGATACGGACGCAACGGATCAGGGCGGCGCGACAAGACTAGGCGGCAAGCGCCGCATTTGCGCACCTAGGCGAGGCGAGGCGACGTACCGTGCTTGCGTCGGGGTCGAGACAGGTCTGGGAGCTCTTGGAGTCTGACACGGCACGTGGGGAGAAGAAGAAGGGCCGCCGCGGAGCCGAACGCGCGACCAACCCGCGTGGGCGCTGGCGCCGTCCTCGCGGCGCGCAGAGGAGGCGGAAGGAGTCGCAGGAGGTGGACGCGGCAGCGGTCGCGGCGGAGGCTCGGTGCGGAGGGATCAGGATCTTGGAGGGGGAGGCGGCCGCGGCCATCGCCATTGAGGTGGATGACGAGCTCGAGTCACGGGGCTCCCGTGGCGAGAGATCACGAGGGGGAAGGGAGAGATACGCCTGACACCCAGTGGTGCAGTGTGGCTGAGTAAATTTAACTAATCTTTTCGCAAGATCTTTCCATTTTCAGTTTTTTTCCCATTTTTCTTTTGGAGAGAGAGAGAGTGCTGCGTGGGAGTGAGAGGGAGAGAAAGTGAGTGGGATTGTCAGCAGGTGGCACTTTTGGAATGATCTCCTTGGGTAGGACATGACCACGATGATTTTGGACATATCACTTGTACACCTTTTTTTCTCTTAATTATCTTGTCACTTGGATTTTTGCTACTTCGGGCTAGTACATACTCTCCCCCTCCCAAAACTTTTGTTATAGATTTATCTAAGATACGTAATGTATCTAGTTACGTTTTAGTATTAGATACATCTGTATCTAAACAAATAAAAACAAGAATTTTAGAAGAAAGTTAATATATATTTCTTCCGTTCCTAAATACAAGTCTTTTTAGAGATTTCAAATGAACTACCATATACGGATGTATATAGACATATTTTAGAGTGTAGATTCACTCATTTTGCTCCGTATATAGTCACTTGTTGAAATCTCTACAAAGACCTATATTTAGGAACGGAGGGAGTAAGATGGAGCACTAAAAAAAATAGCATTGCATGATCAACTTTTAGTCCTTTTTCCATACAAGTGAGGTGCACAAATAGCTAATAACATACTACTTAATTCAATGCATGCTCTTGTGGAAAATCTTCTAATTATGCTCGAAGCTGCCCTAAAGAATCCTTTCCTAGAACTTTCTAGAAATAATATTACAGCATATGAAACACCAAGTTGGAATAGAAAATGGAAATCATGGTTAAGATAGTCACTACTTACATCATCAGCATGTGGATTGAGATCTGCATGCTTCGATGAGCTCTTATGGCCATCAACGTTGCATTGTTCACGCTTGGAAGGGGAGGGCGAGGGGAAGGTTTTAGATGCCAAAGGCACATCCATTGCTGAGGGATAAACAATGGAAGGATATAGATATTGAGTGATGTGTGAGCAAACTGTTCCCTGATTTATAGGTGAAGGGAGTATATGCACGTATAAAAAGGCGCATATGGATATCCTTATGCGACGAAATTAGTTGTTATGTGACAATCTGTAAAGTGTTTGGCTTTCTAATATGCTCTTCGCTTTATTGGCAGCAAGTTTAGCACATACAAAAAGGCACGCACATGGATATCTTTGTGCGATGAAATTAGTTGTTATGTGACAAGCTGTAAAGTTTTTGGCTTTCTAGATATGCTCTTCGCTTTATTGGCAGCAAGTTTAGCCACATTAAAAAGCGCACATGGATATCTTTGTGCGACGAACTTAGTTGTTGTGTGACAAGTTGTAAAGTTCTTGGCGTTCCAGATATGCTCTTCGCTTTATTGGCAACAAGTTTAGTCATACTGGAAGCACACATAGATCATTTTTTCGAGAACACACCCAAAAATGGCGTACAACTTTTATGAAAGAAAGGACAAAGATGCCCACCCTACATAGCGGCTTACAACTCTTGAAGGAAGGATCCAGGTAGCCCACAACAGAAAACAAAAAAGGCTACTCCTCGCTAATGACTACTGACGTGTCGGCGTGGAAGCACAATCACCTATGGGGCATGGGTGCCCCTTTTTGGTTCGGCATGGGGACGACCACGTTACACAAAGAGCAGAAACATAAGGGGACAACACGGCATGGCGATGGACTCTCTCTTTTTACCCAGGTTCGGGCCGCTTTGCAGCGTAAAACCCTACTCCTGCTGTGGTGGTGGATTGATCTGGGGGAACACGAAGGCTCGACGCGCTCTGGACCGGCAAGGTTGCCTCGGGGAGAGTGACGTGAGCGTACAAGTGTTGTGTGATCGAATGTATGAACCCCTTGCTAGGTTGCCTCGGGCCTCCTTTTATAGGTTAAGGGGTGACCACAGTGGCAAAACAGTCATTTGGGTGTGATTAGATAGCTCACAATGCTATCATACCTAACTGTGGCAGTTAGGAAAAAGTGCATTAAATATTGTGCTAGGTGTCGTGCTGAGGGTGAAGCCCGGCAAGCCTGTCGCGCCGCTTATCCTCTTCTTATCAACTTGACACGCCTCTTGGACGGGTGCCAACAAAGCTAATCCCTTCTCTTTTATGCTGCCACGTACCTAATAGGTTCCACCAGGTTGCTTGGTTCCTTGACACTGAACTGATAAGTGAATTGGGTGTGATGAGGTGGAGTGGTGGCGTCTCGGTGAAGGTTCCCCGGAAAGGGAGCTTGGCGGGGTTTGGTCTTGGCGGCCCCGGCAACCCTGCCGGGGCGAATCTGGACCTGTCCTCAGGTGCGGTCTCGGCCTAGCCAGGCTCTCCTGCCCGGCAAGGAAGGCCTTCCCAAGGTGGACTTCTGCTAGTCGGTCTTCTTAATGCTCTCCTTGATCTCACGAAGAGCGGCTTCTCTGGCTTAACTTTATGTCATGCATTGGTGTTGGATGTATGATCGTCAGCATGCCTGTGCATGAGTCCGGTCAGCAAACGTGGATGTTTGTTGCACTGACAGGAGCCCCAGGGCCTGGCCCACACGTGTTGTCGGGCATCGTTGGGGTAAGCCCCAAATAATGCACAAGCTGACAACCTGACCTTGCCACGGTGGAATTTAGGTCACTGAGATCTTCTTTACTTCTTCATTAACCTGAATTTGAATCAATTCCCGGGTTCCCCACGAGTCGTGCAACGTCAAACGACGTGGGTCTACCCATGTAATGGGCCAGAGAACACCCACGTTCATGGGGAGTTGATTGAAGTGTCTACGCATGATCCGGGGGTAACCGCCATTTCACCTTACCCACCACGCATGTCGTTTCCGCCACGTGCGTTGCATGCATTGCACTGGGTTTGTGACTGACACCAAGGATGCAGGCATGAGTGCCATGGCAGAAAGTCTGGCGCCATGGATTGGCGCAGAGGGGCGGCCGAAGAATCTGGACATCGTCAGTGACGCAGATAAACCGCATTGGAGGAGTGGGGCGGTTGCCTCAGGATGGTGGGGAGCCAGCCCACTACCACGCTCTGCTATAAAAGAGAGTGCGAGGGGAATGGAAATGCTCACCCACGCACCTTCTGCTCCTTCTTCTCGTGTTCTTCTCCCACCATGGTCAGGGGAAGAGGAGACGCTCGAGATCCAGCGGTGATGATAAGGGCCTCCTCTCGGCACTGTATTCCCGCCCCCGCTGGGGACATAGGGGCGGGATCCAGTACTCAAGGCGGAGCCGCAGGACGCGGGCGTGGATGGCGCGGCGCTCGGGGCTGAGGTGGACGTGGTGGTGCTCCGATCGCGCCTCCCCCAGCTGCTCTGACTCCATTGGAAGGCCATGCTGGAGATACGACACTGGAATTCATCGTCAGGCTGTGAGAACCCCCGCGTAGCCATCTTTGGCTTCCTAGCCCCTTTGCAAGGGTGATGGAGGTCGAACAGTCGCACGGGCTAAAGTTGCACATGAGTGGTTGCTGCAATGGCACCATGCGGGTGGACGTCGAGTTCTCTGCACCTCATATCATGCTTCTTCGGTGTGGCTGGAAAACTTTTGCACGTGCCCATAGCATGGCGGAAGGGCATGTCCTCCATTTTAAGTTAATGGAGGTCGATCTACTCTCCATCAAGGTCTTCGGGCGCTCGGCTGCTCGCTTAGGGTGTTGTGCGGAAAGCTCGACCGACGATGGAAGCTCCTCCTCGAGCGACAACGACGAAGAGGACATTGACGACGAAGATGGCGACGACGAGCCCCCAGACATCAAGCATGAAGATGACAACTCGGACTTCGGCTGAGCGTCGGACACGCCGTCACCATTAGCTAGGCGCCAGCAGCACCATCATCTGCAGCTGGACCCCGGCAGAGCAATTTGCCGGGGGTGTTTGGCCCGGTCGACTCCGCTTCCACCAGCTGGACCCCGACAGGCTTCCTCATGGACTCTAGCTTCGTCTTCCCTGCTAGTGTCCCTCTTACCGCGTTCCTTTGGTCCTAGCGGGGTGACCAGGGCATCGCCTAGCCGCTCTCCCCATCCACAACCTCTTCTTCCTTTCCGGGGAGGCGCCCTCCCAATCTTGTCAGGCTGCGTCCCGCGGGCCCTGACGTGGTCGGGCTGGGCTTCTACCCAGGCGCTCTTTTTTCCCTCTTTCCTTCTCGATGCAAATCCTAGGAGGAGAGGGACAAGAAAGGCATTACGGGGCACTTATCAGTTTTCAATTTAAAAGATGTAGGCACCGGCCAAGTTTTAATTCAAATCATGTAATCCTCTATCCATGTTTGTATTCTGTATGATCTATACTTGTTTATCCACGTATCAATGGAAAAAGAATGCTTGTCGGGTACTTGTGCATGTATCATATCCATGCCGAGGAATGATCCCTCAATACTCTCAAGTAAACAAGGTTCTCCCGCAAGACATCCTGCCGGTCCTTACCATAGCTGCTACTAAACCCTGTCTAATGGGTTAGGAGCGTGGATGGAGGCCGACCCCTTGTCTGCCCCCCCCCCCCCAATGTCACTACAACCAACTTAACCGAAAAGACTTCAAATCAAAAGGTGGGAGCATAGATGTTGGGAGGGACAAGGTTTCCCTATGTACAAGTTCTTCATATGTGAATACATCATGGATGGCGAGCTGAACTTATCTATGTTTGTTGTCCTTCTTATCGCTCCCGACAAGAAAGAGCTATCTGGGACCAATATGCAAGGGATGACGAAAACGATTCCCGAGCTCTTCGCAATGTTAAAGGTTACGGAGGTAGAAATCAAGAAGGAGCATCAAGTGTTGATGGTTAACAAGACCACTAGTTTCAAGAAAAAGGGCAAAGGGAAGAAGGGGAACTTCAAGAAGAATAGCAAGCAAGTTGCTACTCCCGGGAAGAAGCCCAAGTCTGGACCTAAGCCTGAAACTGAATGCTTCTACTGCAAAGGGACTGGTCACTGGAA